AAGCCTACGATTTATTAATAATTTTGAACTGGACATCATGCTGTTCGGTAACAGTATTTACAGCGAGAATTAATAATTCTCCTAAGTGACCGGGGATGTCGACGATGTCGTGCACGTCGCACGATGCACACGCTTAGATTTCGATTGTCTCGCATCATAGTGTGCGCATGAATGAACCAATTTACTGAATAAAATCTCACGGAAGCGATTCGGTGTCTTAAATGTATGTAAATCCAGAAATTTGAATTCGTTTCTCTGGTTTATGTTACATAATACACGGCGAAAGAAACATTGCAAACACGTGTAATCATAATACAATAGCCTATGAAACTTCTTATCTCACTCTTTCCTGCGAAACTGTCTATGCAGCAAGCGATTCAATAATTTCGCTAGAGTAAAGAGAAATGCAGCGTGACACGTTTACTCGAAACGGAAGGTCCGATCGTGCACTGCTTCTTTAAAAATAGAATACGAAATTGCAAGGGGAAAAAATTATGTAATCCTGAAGCAGCGCATAAATATGCACTCAAAAAAAAGCAGTCACGATTATGACGAATATTTTTAGAACGGACTAGATGGTGATCTAAAATGCTATAATGTGACGAAAAATAATATTATATCGCGTGACAGGTTTTCTCCTGGGACTGTGAGCTAATATTTTTAGAACCAGCTACTACTGAGAGCCTTGGCTTTTGCCTTTCAGAAAATATTGCAACTATTCGCTGGTGAGTTTAGCTGGTAACACCTGAACGACGACTGAAATTGAAACCGAGTGTTAAGCTCATTCGCAATTTTATTCATCAATTTGTTACAACATATTTTATCCGAGAAACTTCTGCATACGTTGCTTCTTCTGTAGAGCTCAACGAAAATCGAAGATTAAAGATAATCGAATTAAAATCAAAATAATAAAATAAAAATGAATACAAATGAATTGTCGAAAACTAAAATAGTCAGACAACAATATTTATGCTCTGAGACAAAATGGACCCCGCTGTTCAAGCGTTAACCAGCGTTTCATTTCCTTACGTTTTCGGCATTTAGTTCGAAGTACAATGGATTCATAGTTTTCGATTACTTGGAACGGTGCAAGCGTTGGTATGATTTGACAGCGTCGCACGTTCCAGATTTTCGCGTCGAATAAGAACTCACGATGGAAATCGTGGGTTCGTCGTCACGTAAGTACGCGAATCATGGTTGCGTGAACGTCAGCTTCCGTCAATTTACTTCACGCTGGTGTCCGCGATATAATAACGAGAACACGCGTGCGACGCACAGGTTGCCGTAATCAAAAACGCATTAAACGTGCAACTTCTCAAGAATTCGAGTAGAAATGGGTCAAAAATAATCGTAGTCAACTGTTGGGTTCAGGGATTCTCGTAGAACACGATTAATCGAAGCGAAATTAATACGGATATATATCCATATACTGTGGATCCGTATTAATTTAATAATATAATAATATTAATAATAATATAATAAAATTATATATATAATAAAATATAATATAATAAATAAATATTAATAATAATAATAATATAATTAATAATATTAATAATAATATTATATATATATATATATATTCGATTTTTACGTCAATTTTCCTTCATGGATGCACAGTGTTTCATGCTTTACATATGACTCATTCATGTACTGAATTACACGATTCGAAACTTTGCAATTTACATGAATGTGTTACTTGTACAAGTACACGATAGCGATATACATCAATAGTGAAATGCTCAATTTTTTAATAAATAGAATGAATAAGGTTTTTCTTACCATTAGTTACGCATAAGCGTTTTCCGAAATTGACCCTTTAACCTCAATCAACGTGGAATTTTCGTTCTATATATTTTGTAGCAAAAAAAGCTGGATTTGAGAAATTAAAAACCTTTCTATTTCGTTTTTGTTTCTCCTTTCGTATACTACTTAATCTAATTCTCATGGCGCATCTGTTAATTATCATTTCAATATCAGTTCAATTCATTGAGAAACACTTAATAGAATGGCCGTATTAACAAATATCATATTCAAATGAGTGAAATCAAGATCGTTCAAAAGTTTAGATCGACAATAATGTGTGCATAAAACGTGCAATTAAATCTTTCCAGTAAACATTCTTTTATAGATCCGTTTAAATCGCGATTTATCTGGAATCGAATACACGTATTCGAGAAATCGAAGCTTCGAACAACTGCCCGTGTAATTAGATCGAAGCGTAATTAGATCGAGATATATGTAATTAGATTTTTCATCATATGCAAATGCGGCAACGTGAATTGTAATATTTCGGGTGAACTCTACCGGATCAACAAAGTGGAACACTAGTAATTCCAATCTGCGCGATTTTGCTGTCCAAGGAACAGAGATACAATTTTCAGGTAACATCGGACGCTAAGTTATAAATATCCGCGACGCATTAAGTAAAACTGAAATTACGAAATAAATCATGGTAAGATTAGCTTTCGTTTCTAGACTATTCCAGGACGACGTACGTTCTGCATCATCGATTTCTCTCATCTGCTCTGATCAAAATTGCAATTCCTTTCTCGCGCCATTAATCAAGCAATCCCCATCCTTCATCAGCACTCTATTTAAAGAGACGAGCACACCACACCTGTTATTGAAGCATATTGCGACAGTAAACAATTTACAACACTACTTTCCCCTGGTTTATATTGAATTTAGTTGGACAAACGAAGGTATAAAAAAAACATTTAAAATAATCACTAGCACTTTCAGGATATTAATCCTAAGGATTAATCATTGTCACTAAAGTAATTCGCGGACGAACTATTTCAAAATGTTTTCATTAAAACTAATTTGAATATTTCCATTCAATAATTTTATTTAGAAATTTTATTCGCTTCGAGTCAACAACAAAAAATAATAACCTTGACATGACAATGACATAGGCAATCGAAAAATTGAAACAGCATTCAAGATTAGTATGAAAAGCGTTGCAAGTTGCTTTTTTCTTCACGTCAGAAATGTTCGTTGGATTTTTAGTTCATTTTTAGCTCGAAACAACAGAAACTTTCCACCGAATGCAAAAAGATTAAAGACGCTGTGCATGCAGAATTTTGAGATAGTATAGAAAGTACGTGTAACTGAAATTAGAAAATAAGTAAACAGGACTTACGTATGAACGATCCAGTAAGCTCTCAGCCTTCGATCGCTACGGTCATCTTCGGCAAGAGAGGGTTAGCATCTTTCTCATGATCACGAGGAAGCGATCTCCAACATCCTTGAGTGCACGGATTGGCGATTTCATTTTCACTTTTATCCAGCAGATCGTCGATGGTTTGAAATCGCAATTTCTCGTGTGCCATTACCTGCCGATCTCGGCACGATATTCTACAGAAGCGATAGATCCTAGAAATTCTAATGAAATTAGATTATTCCACGACGAAAATTGATTTTCAAATCCGAAATTCCACAAAATTTGTAAAGTTTCAAAACGGACAGTCGCAATTTCAACCGTCAAAGTGTTAACACCGTACACATCGAAAGCTGAAAAATTATTGTAAATGCGACTGCCATAGCAACGTCTACGAAAGTCACGCCAAAACAGTTGAGTTCGTAACGTAAAAATGGAGAACCAACAATTGAGAATTTCTTTAAAAATTGTAGAAAGGCGACAACAATTTTATTCGTAAAAATTATTTAAATCACGTATAATAATTTCTTCTGAAACTATTATTTAGTAGAGAATTATCAAGCATCTTTCTCGCCATAGCTCAATCGTTAAAAATCGTGTTAATAAGCTTTCGGTGAACAAAGTGTCGAAAGATTTTAATCAAAATTGATTTTTAGTTCGGCACAAAAATTGTTAGTTAATCGTATACGATTGATAAAGCTGTCAAAGCGTTGATACACTCGAATATAATGCGTAGGGTGTGGATATTTGTGCAAAATAAAAATGTTCCGCAACCGCTGCACGAAACAGAAGTCATTAAGGGAACCTCTCTTTAATAACTGTAACGAGTTGAGAATAGTATGTTGTAATCCTTTAATTATTTTAATTCTCCTACTGTTTGAATTCTTCGCATTCGAGTGGCGACTCTGAACCGTAAAAAATTGCCACGCCATGATTCGCAACAATGTTTGCATTCTCCCAAATCTGTCTGTATTTAACGAATTTCGAAAAACTATAGCGTGGCGCGAGTAAACGCGTTTAATCGGACATATTAAATTTGTTTAAACAAAAATAAACAAAATAAGAATATGCGAAGAATTAAAACGATAGAAAAATTAAAATGAAACGAAAAATTAAATTAATGACATTCAAATTAAATCAATAAAATTCCAATTCAAGAAGAAACAAAACAAAATAGTAAAGAAATTTAATACGTCTTAGTGGATAAATATGTATAAAATAAGTTATGCCCAAAATATAAATTATAACCAAAGGCACAGCAATCGATCACCCCACAATGATCAGCTCCACTACCCTAAGCGAAACGAAAACGATGAATGAAACTATTATAGATCGGAAGAAATGTTCGCGTCGCGAAGGTATAATAGTCTCGAATAGCATCGAGTGCAAAGTGTTGAGTTGCGCTTATTAATATTTTCTCATAAATGCATAAAATACGCCTAATAAAATACGTCTAATAGCGCGTTAATCCTCGTCCTATCGTCCCAGAAACGATTTCCGCGAAGAGCCTGTCGTCAAATAGCTCGAACACTAATTACAATATTAGTCGGATCGGTGGTGAACAGATACGTTCCGTGTCTGCTTGGATAATACGAGGCTTCCTTTGTACGGAACGCACCCAACGAAATAATTTCCACGGGATCGCGATCGAACGCGTTAGATTAGAACGCGACGCGGCGGATAGAACAATTTTCCGGCGGTGGTACATACCTACGGCGCGGGCACCTGTGAACGTACGTACGATCGAGGCGGTGTTCGCGCGAGCACGTTTTTGCGAATGCAAAACGAGACGCACAAGTGTATTACGGACGATGAGGTGCAGCGAAAGTACGGAGCCATTATGCCGCGGAGTATATAAGGCTCACTCTAGAAAACGAAGCGGTTCAGTTAGTGGTTATACGCCACCACAAAACATACGCGAACTCAACGATGAATATTAAGGTAAGCGAGCAACAATACTTGCGCGGGTTTTGTCGTTTTCGGTGCCTGTTCCGGCGGCGGGCGAGATCCGAAGTCGTGTCACGATCGATCGGGATCCGTGCGACTTCCGGTGAAATTGGTTTCCCAGAAAACGGCCGGCGATAACGCGTCTCCGCGGCGGTCCCCGTGCTCTCGCGATTTCAACGCGATCCAATCAGGCGATCGTAGTCTGAGGCGAGTGACTCTGTGTGCCCAGTGCGGACTTCCGACAGTAAACAAATTTATAGCCGACCGTCGATGGTCTTTCTCTTCTTTCGAATGATTTCGCAAATTCGTGCTCGATCCGGAAATCCTTCTTCTCATTTATTCGGCTCTTTTATTAGTTCATGCTTTTTTTTGACAAAGTGTTATCTATTTTGATTGTTCCACGGTGTTCTATTTCTTTTGGGAATTATCTTTGAAAATTCGCGGAGACGAGAATTTCTTTTATATAATGCGGATATGCGGATATCCGTATAATGCGGATCTTTGTATAAAATAAAAATCGTCTGCAACAATTGTATAAAAATAGAGTAAAATGAAGCTGTACTCATTTTTGTAACAGTTTCAATGAATTGAAACTGAATTGAACTTCTCGTGCTGTTTTCACTATTCTGTAATTTCGCATATCAATTTTTATCATAAATGCGTAATATTCGTTGTCTAATGATGAGTCATTTTGCAAGGTGTCTGTAAAGGTATCTGTGTTTGTTCAAAATGCTCTACGTAATCCTCGCGATTTCTTTAAACACTTAAATAAAATAATGGCGATTTTTACTTTCATATTAACGTTCTCACGAATCGATTCGTTCACCTTTTCATTGATTTTAATAGCAATTGAGAATTCTAATACTTGGTCCTGTCATTCAATCGAATGTATAGTTTAATTTCCCATGGTGTTATTCGTAGATAGATTTATGCACTTATGAGGAAAATGATCAGAAGACTATAAGAACGTGTCCATATTAGTTTGTAATTAACTAAAATTATTTATAGTAACAATAGATTGCTATTCAACACTTATCTCTCGACATTAATCAATAAATACATCGATTTTATGCATTTATAACAAAAATGAGTAATTCAAGAACAAATTAGTAAAGAGATTTGAAGGATGTACAAATATTGTTACGTTCCTTTCGACTGATTAATATTATTAAGAAGAGAAGTGCAGCTTCTGTACCCCACAGTTGCATAGTATACAAACCCGTTGCACATCTTTTAAATCGAAACATAATGTTACGCATCTATCGTTAATATTTCAACATTGAAATGAAAAATTGCGAAATATTAGATATAAATGATCTGTCTCACGCTGGAATTTATTAGTGACAAGCAAGTGTTAACCAATAACGTAATTGTGAAAGAGATCGTAGTACAAGGGTTTATAAAGGATTATAAAGGATTTAACGAGGATACTTTTTCTACATCTCCACTTTTCATTAACTAATCTGAAATTTGAGACTTTCTCGGCGTTATACAGCTTTCACTGTCGAGTCTTATAAACCTCACGAAATTATTTTCCCAACGTTCCGCAAGCATTGCAGCTAGCATCAACGATAATTGATGCTGGTTTTCATCGTCTACTTGCTAAATCTGCGGGCCCAACAGAGCAATCATTTTCCTCTTTGGACTAGGTCCACGGAGCCTGTTAAAATGACGGGTCACCAATTTCTTGCTTCACCATTATTCAGATCGTAAAGATACATTCACGAGTTATTCGTACATGTTCAATGTACGTATTAAAAATCAAATAAATGTCTTGTTGTTGCTTTTATAAATTAATATAAAACTGCTGCTGCCAGTGCTCCGTAAATCTAGCGTTTCACGTTAAACCAACCGAGCACTAAAAATGACCGACGCTTTATTTTTATTTAGGCTTTCTGCCATTCCTATTATAATGTACGTTCCAATTAAGAAATCTGTTCGATCGTTTTCTACAGAAGAGTCTTTGTAATGCCAACGATCTCAAAAAATAAAGAATATGAAACCTAACAAACCGCTAACAACGCCGCACTTTTCCCGCAGATCGCCATCGTCCTGGTGGCACTGGCCACGTTGTGTAGCTGTTCAGAGGAATCGAAGTCGTCGGAGAAGGAGTCTTCCTCGGCGGAGCAACCTCAGAAGAAGACCGAGAAGAGAGGTCTGCACGGTAGCTACGGCGACCTAGGCGGGGGTGGCGGCGGCGGCGACTATGGGGGCGGCGGCGGCGGTGGAGGCGGCGGCGGTGGCGAGAGCTACGGGCACCACGAGCACGTGAAGACGGTGACGGTGGTGAAGAAGGTGCCGGTGCCGTACGAGGTGACGAAGCACGTGCCTTACCTGGTGGAGAAGCACGTCCCGTACGAGGTGAAGGTGAACGTGCCGCAGCCGTACACCGTCGAGAAGCACGTCCCGTACCCGGTCAAGGTGTTCGTGAAGGTGCCGGTGCACGTGCCGCAGCCGTACACCGTCGAGAAGAAGGTGCCGTACGAAGTCAAGGTACCCGTGGACAAGCCGTACGAGGTAAAGGTGCTGGTGCCTCAGCCGTACACCGTTGAGAAGCACGTACCCGTCCCGGTGAAGGTGCCCGTGCCGCAGCCGTACACCGTCGAGAAGCACGTGCCGTTCCCGGTGAAGGTCAAAATTCCGGTGCCGCAGCCGTACCCGGTCGAGAAGCCAGTCCCGTACGAGGTCAAGGTCCCAGTCGACAAGCCTTACCCGGTCACCGTGCCGAAACCGTACCCGGTCACCGTCGAGAAGCCGTACCCGGTGCCGGTCGACAAGCCGGTGCCCTACGAGGTCAAGGTTCCCATAGACAAACCCTACCCGATCCCGGTCGAGAAACCGTACCCGGTGCCAGTCAAGGTGCCCGTGCCCCAACCCTACCACGTCCACAAGCACGTACCCGTCCCGGTGCCGAAACCCGTCCCCTATCCGGTCAAAGTGCCCGTAGACAAGCCCTACATCGTTGAGAAGGAGGTGCCCTACCCGGTCGAGAAGGAGGTGCCTGTGCCGGTCAAGGTACCCGTCCCGGTACCAATTTACGACGATCACGGTAGCTACGGCGGCGGCGGAGGCGGAGGCGGTGGTGGCGGAGGTTACGAGTTGTCCGGTGGCGGAGACGGCGGCGATTACTACTCGCACCATCGTTGAATCGGTCGTTCAAACAGGTGATCGGACGGTCCTTCGTCGACCAGCTGCGCGCGCTCCTTGGATCTCCGGATGGCTCTTACAGGTTGTCCGAAGAGTGCGTTTCCACTCGGATTCCGAAGAATTTCTCGAGCTAGTTGCGGAAAGGACTTTTCGGACAACCTAGTGCCTCCTTCCTGGCGCACGCGGGGAACGATCGTTGACAAAAAGTATACGCGGATCGAAAATGTAGGTGTCGTTTCGGCAGGGAATCCCGTCTTTCAACTGCGCGTTGCCGAACGGACGACCAGCGAGAGTGCCGCGGCTCCGATTGGTTGTTAAGTGACAATGTCAACGAATCGGATCCCGAAAACACGCCTTTGCCCTCGTCCTGCTAATCGTCTTTCCGTCAACGCGCTGCGTTCGCGAGTCTTTCGTGGCGACAGTCTTTTAATCACGCATCGTACAGCCGGTAGGACGCGTTCCCGATGCACCCGCCGTAACCTTCGATCCGGATCTCTCGGAGAACAGCTCTTCCCGAAGACCGTTCGCGAAGAGAGTTCCCCGAGCTCGCGATCTTCCGGCTATTCTGTCCGACCGATACCGCTCGAGTTCTCGGTGCACGTTCGAAAAATGTTTCCAGAGGTTGTGCTTCTGTATAATAGCCGCGCTTTATTGTAAACGTTTACGCTAGTTGTCTATATGTATTGCTGTTCCAAAGAAAAGATCGGTGTCGGCCTTGTCGGGGCGATGTTCGCGCGCGCGCGCGCGCACGCAAGTCAGCCGACGTGTAAAAGTAGGCGTCCGCCGCATCGTGCGGCGACGGGAAAACACTTGTACCTAACTTAAGTTAAGACACCCCTGAGCGAGGTAGAGTTTCTTTTTGTATCAAAGATTTGTAATAAATGTTTCTGTATCATGAGATCGTGTCGTTCGTTCCAGCTTTCATGTCCGCGGACAGACCTCGCGCGTTCGCGATATCGACGCTCGTTTATAATGCGGGACAGCGTGTGCATTAACCCTTTGCACTCGACCGGCGACTCTATCAAAATAATGTTTATAACATTGTCAAACCTGTTTATATTCAAGGAACTGTTAAAAGTGTAATTGTTGTACGAGTCACAAGGCTCAATCTCGTGTGCACGAAATGCAATGAGTCATATAAAATAGGAATACAGTAAATTCTCCCTAATTGACGGTCAGATTGTGCACAAAAATCGACAATTTGGGGAGAGGAGATACGATTATTCGATTATACGATTATACCATACGATTATTTTTATAGTTACCGATTGTCAACAACTATAAGAACGAGCCGCAAGGCTCGAATAATCGTCTCTCCTCATCCCAAATTGTCCATTCTTGTGTGCAAGCTGAGGAGAATTTATTGCACCGCGTAAATGAAAAGAAGTTATTATGAATTTAGAATTAAAATGGTTTCGAGTGCAAAGCGTAAACGATCCATGACGCTTCCAGGTTGGCTCTGCCGCGAGAAACTTTCTAATTAGCGAACCAAATCATGGTTTCCATATGATAATAGTAAGTTGGAGCTTCCACGAAGGCTCATTGGCGAAAAAACGTTCGAGAACGTGTACGCGGAAGAAAGGAACGTTTAAACTTTCATCGGAAATTGATGTTTTCGTATCACCGTCGACGGCAACAAAAAAAAAAATGCTGTAGAGCTGGCGCGCCGGTCGTAACGCAGGTGTTCGTTGACAGTCGAATTCCTCTCGATTATCTCCGAATAACTTCGAACAAGCCCGAAAAACGCTGGAACAGTACGTTGACATCCTTCCGTCGGCGTTTTGTATTTCGCGTATTCATTCGCGTCGTAAATCCATAAAATCCGCGGTTTACTCGCGATCGTTTCCGCAAGGATTTATCGCGCCGTGAAGCCGACGAAATCGTTTAACGTCCGGCACGGCGCGCATTAATATCGTCGCGAAAGCGTTTCCGATGGTGACAATTATTTATTACGACGTCGCCGGCGCGGCATTCCGGCACGGTCGTTTAATCTCCGCGGAATATTTCCGGCGGGAAAAGCGGCCGCGTCAAAAAAACCGCCGCGCTAACGCGATAACGAGCGGACGGGGCGCGCTTTCTCGGGCGGAAACCCGCCGCGAGTTTCACTTTAGCAAAATTGCCGTGTCGTGCGGACACGGCCAGTGACGCGGGCGAGCAACGGCCGATGAAAAAGTGCCGAAAAGTAAAACGAAAAACGTGAGAGGATTACGTGAACGATCCTCTTTCACTCGCTTCGGAGAAAGAAGCGGCGCGGCGCGGCGCGCCGAAGAGGATCCGCGAACGGTCCGCTCGCATGACCGTCCATTTCCGCATTCGCGTCACGGTGCAACGATCTGCCGCAGAATTGCCGACGCGTCTTGAGAAATCGCGGACCAGCGGAAGCTACAGCCGGAACACCGGATAAAAGCGCGAGATGAATGCGCTCGTCGATCCCCTGCCCCCACGACGCGCCGTTCCCGGCTCTCAAGCTCGAATCAATCTTAATCGCCAATTAAATGCACTCGACTACGTGCCCAAGAAAGCATTACTTTCTCCGTGGCTTCTGAGCCGGCGATCCTTTCCACGTCTGATCCACTCCGCGATTCGATTAAGCGCAGTTCGCACTCTGCTATTACCTTTCGATTGCCGGCTGCGAAGCGCTTGCGTTTTTACGATCGCAGAATTACNAAACCTGTTTATATTCAAGGAACTGTTAAAAGTGTAATTGTTGTACGAGTCACAAGGCTCAATCTCGTGTGCACGAAATGCAATGAGTCATATAAAATAGGAATACAGTAAATTCTCCCTAATTGACGGTCAGATTGTGCACAAAAATCGACAATTTGGGGAGAGGAGATACGATTATTCGATTATACGATTATACCATACGATTATTTTTATAGTTACCGATTGTCAACAACTATAAGAACGAGCCGCAAGGCTCGAATAATCGTCTCTCCTCATCCCAAATTGTCCATTCTTGTGTGCAAGCTGAGGAGAATTTATTGCACCGCGTAAATGAAAAGAAGTTATTATGAATTTAGAATTAAAATGGTTTCGAGTGCAAAGCGTAAACGATCCATGACGCTTCCAGGTTGGCTCTGCCGCGAGAAACTTTCTAATTAGCGAACCAAATCATGGTTTCCATATGATAATAGTAAGTTGGAGCTTCCACGAAGGCTCATTGGCGAAAAAACGTTCGAGAACGTGTACGCGGAAGAAAGGAACGTTTAAACTTTCATCGGAAATTGATGTTTTCGTATCACCGTCGACGGCAACAAAAAAAAAAATGCTGTAGAGCTGGCGCGCCGGTCGTAACGCAGGTGTTCGTTGACAGTCGAATTCCTCTCGATTATCTCCGAATAACTTCGAACAAGCCCGAAAAACGCTGGAACAGTACGTTGACATCCTTCCGTCGGCGTTTTGTATTTCGCGTATTCATTCGCGTCGTAAATCCATAAAATCCGCGGTTTACTCGCGATCGTTTCCGCAAGGATTTATCGCGCCGTGAAGCCGACGAAATCGTTTAACGTCCGGCACGGCGCGCATTAATATCGTCGCGAAAGCGTTTCCGATGGTGACAATTATTTATTACGACGTCGCCGGCGCGGCATTCCGGCACGGTCGTTTAATCTCCGCGGAATATTTCCGGCGGGAAAAGCGGCCGCGTCAAAAAAACCGCCGCGCTAACGCGATAACGAGCGGACGGGGCGCGCTTTCTCGGGCGGAAACCCGCCGCGAGTTTCACTTTAGCAAAATTGCCGTGTCGTGCGGACACGGCCAGTGACGCGGGCGAGCAACGGCCGATGAAAAAGTGCCGAAAAGTAAAACGAAAAACGTGAGAGGATTACGTGAACGATCCTCTTTCACTCGCTTCGGAGAAAGAAGCGGCGCGGCGCGGCGCGCCGAAGAGGATCCGCGAACGGTCCGCTCGCATGACCGTCCATTTCCGCATTCGCGTCACGGTGCAACGATCTGCCGCAGAATTGCCGACGCGTCTTGAGAAATCGCGGACCAGCGGAAGCTACAGCCGGAACACCGGATAAAAGCGCGAGATGAATGCGCTCGTCGATCCCCTGCCCCCACGACGCGCCGTTCCCGGCTCTCAAGCTCGAATCAATCTTAATCGCCAATTAAATGCACTCGACTACGTGCCCAAGAAAGCATTACTTTCTCCGTGGCTTCTGAGCCGGCGATCCTTTCCACGTCTGATCCACTCCGCGATTCGATTAAGCGCAGTTCGCACTCTGCTATTACCTTTCGATTGCCGGCTGCGAAGCGCTTGCGTTTTTACGATCGCAGAATTACTCTGGAGAGGCGGAATCTATTGAATAGGATTGCGAATACGTCGGAGATAGACAAGGTGAGTCGCCAATTATTTTTTCCGCGTGTCGGATTTTTCTCAGGTTTTGTTCAGCGTCGAAACTACAATGACGGTCAAAATCTATATTAAAATATATGTTGTAACGAAGAAGACGCGGTTTCATAATTTTTATTTCAAAATTAACGAAGCTATGAATAGATTGCGGATCATTATGCGAAATAAAAACTATCTACCTCAATTTCAAAACCTCAAACTTGAAATAGTAGTTTTTTTTAGTAATAGATTGCGGGTCTTTATGCAAAATGTCAATAGACATTTTTAATTTGTTAATTAAAAAATTAAAATTAAAATTTGTTAATTTTAATTTTTTAAAATGTCAATAGACATTTTTAAAAAATTGTCTACCTCAATTGCAACAAACTTGAAATAGTGGTAAAATAGTAGTTTCTTTTCCTTAATGCGTCTAGTAGGTTGAAGATAATTTAACAGCTTTCTTAAAGTCTTATAATCTTTCCATCTTTATGTTTTTCTCGTAGACGCATAAAATTCGCACGTCAGTTGTGAACGCTCGCTTGTACGAAAAGATCGAGTAAACTTCTCATTTCAAGCACACGCTGTAACCAAAATGACTAAAGATCTCAAAAAATTCCATCTTCTCATCCTTACAAAGCAATATTTAATGATTTTTATCATTTTTAACGACTACGTGATCTGTTATGTTATCCTAGACAATTTCGTATTCTTCAGGCATTTGACAAAATCGCTGATTCTGTCTTTCGTGCGGTTTAATTGTGAAAGTTGAATGTTCGATAGATAAAAAGACTTTTATATCGTTCAAAGTGTTCAACGCAGACATTTTTAAACGATCTCGAAAATCTACTGAGCAGATCTCCACTGTCATCCTCGAGGCACACTTCTATGCAATTAGAGAGAATACGACGAGAATACGTGATTTGTGAAATACCGATGTATCTAAACAACTAACATTGTTATTTTATTTTTAACACTACAAATAATAACGGCGAATGATCAGATAACCAACGGAGTGTGAACATACCGCGATTTCGACATTTTCAATTCAACGCGCGTGAAACGTCAATTTAGAAAAATTTTCCATCAACTATTCAATCGTTGCAATTATGGCGAAAAATATGTGACTCGCTCAATCTACTCATTTGTGTAGTCATTCTATCGTTTCGTGTTGGTTTTACGGAAACTTCGAGATTACAAAATGTCGTATGAAATGTTAGGTTTCATGCCACATTGATAATTTGGAGTAACCACGATTAATATAATCTGGAATACTCTCAAGCGTATCGCAATTTATTTCATGGGAAACGGGTGGGCGTTACCTTGGCGCAATAAGTCGACATTGTGGCAGAAATGCGTGCACCGTGACCGAGTGCAGTCAATGTTTAACCGTTTTTAGCAATTCTATATGTGTATTTATTTAATGTTCTCTCTCTCTCTCTCTCTCTCTCTCTTACAGGTTACATGTGGCTTTACATTGTATTAAAATATGTATATATATATTACATTAATATTTCTATATTATATTGTATTATAATATATTATATTACCCAAATAAAAATTCAAC